CTTCCTTCCTTCCTTCCTTCCTTCCTTCCTTCCTTCCTTCCTTCTTTGAAAGCCAAGTTCAGTTTATTTCATTTTCACACATACAAATGGGGACTATCCATCATAGCTCTCATAGGGGTTTCAAAGAATGAGTGTGGGTGTGATATTGATGGAAATTCACTCTTTTATTGATTAAAAACAACCATTCTGAGGCTGGGGTTATGGCTCAGTAGTAAAGCACTTGCCTAGCATGTGTAAGGCACTGGGTTCAATCCTCAGTACCACATAAAAATAAATAAAGGTATTGTGTCCAGCTACAACTAAAAAAAAAAAGAACATCCATCTTGACATGCATATATAAAGTATCTTTGATACAACATGAGTGAATCTCAAAATAATTATGCTGAGTGAAAGAAAAAATATTTGCTTCTTGATTTCATTCATATAATATGTAGAAAATGCAAACTACTTTCTTGTAACAGAGTACTATATTAGTTATGTGGAAGGAAAGAAATATAAGGAGACCTGAGAAACTTTGGGGGCTGATGATTATGTTCATCTCATTGGAATTGCTCTATCTCCTATCCTGTTTTACTTTATTATTATTTTTTAAATTTTCCATATTTTATTTGGGCATTATAATTAAACATAATAGTGGAATTTGTTGTTAAATAGTCATAGACATGATATAACAGTATAATTTGGTCTGTATAGTTCCCCAGTACTCCCCTTTCCATTTCATCCTTGCTCCCCCTGGTCCTTTTCCTATTACTCAACTCCCTTCAATTTTCATGAGATCCCACTTTCTTATCTCTGTCCTCTGAAACTTCCACATATGAGAGAAAACATATGACCCTTGACTTTCTGAGTTTGGCTCATTTCACTTTAACATAATGCTCTCAAGTTCCATCCATTTCCCTGCAAATGACATTCTTCTGTATGGCTGATTAAAACTCCATACCATATTTTCTTTATTCATTCATTCACTGATGGACACCTGGGCTGGTTCCATGGTTTGGTTATTGTGAATTGTGCTGCTGTAATTTTATTTAGATCTTTTGCCCATTTTTTCCATTTTATTATTTATTTGTTCTTTTTAGATATATGTGACAGTAGAGTATATTTGACATATTATTGATACATGGAGTATAACTTATTAAAATTAGGATCCCATTCTTGCGGTTGAACATGATATGGAGTTACACTGGTCGTGTAACTTCTTTTCTATTCCCTTCCTTCTCTTTTGTCTACTCAAATGAACTTCTATTCTTCCCTCCCCCCACATATTATATGTTAGCATCTGTATATCAGAGAGAACATTTGGCCTTTGTTTTTTGGGGATTGGCTTATTTCACTTAGCACAACATTCTCCAGTTCTATCCACATACCAGCAAATACCATAATTTCATTTTTCATTATGACTGAGTAATACTCCATTGTGTATATATAGCACATTTTCTTTTTTTAAAAATTTATTTGTTCTTTTTAGATACACATGAAAGTAGAGTATATTTTGACATGTTATACATACATGGAATATAACTTCTTATTCTTGTATACTACATTTTCTTTATTCATTCATCTGTGTTGAAGGGCACCTAGGTTGGTTCTATAACTTAGCTATTGTGAATTCAGCTGCTATAAACATTGAAATGGCCATGTCACTGTAGTATGGCTGATTTTAAGTCATTTGCCCATTTTTAATTAGGTTATTTATCATTTTATTATCGAATTGTAGGTGTTATATATTCTGGGTCTCAGCCATTTAACAGATATGTGTATCCCAATGTATTTTCTTCCATTTTGTGGGTTCTTTTCTATTTCTTGATGTTCTGTGAAGCGCAAAATTTTAATTTTGTTGATGCCTAATTTAGATATTTTTTATTTTGTTACTTATGGCTTTGGTGTGATATCTATGTGTTCTTTTTAAGATTTTTGAAGTTTTAGCTTTTATGTTTAGGCCTTGGATGCACTTGAATTTATTTTTTTATATGATGTGCAGTAAGTGTCCAAATTCATCCTCTTACAAGTGGGTTATTATTTTTTTTTTTAGTTTTAGTTGGACACAATACCTTTGTTTTTATTTATTTATATGTAGTGCTGAGGATCAAACCCAGGGCCTCGCATGCTAGGCAAGCACTCTATTGCTGAGCCACAATCCTATCCCCTTTATATCTTATTTAGAGACAGGGTCTTGCTCTGTTGCTGAGTCTGGCCTTGAACTCTCAGTCCTCCTGCCTCAGCCTCCTGAGTTGCTGGGATTATAGGCATGTACTATCATGCCTGACTTCTCAGGGTAAAATTTTAAGAACCCACTTTAATCTAAAATAAAATATATGTGTCTAGCTTTAGATCACTGTAGGTCCATTTCCAAGAATGCTAAATAAATCAATTTCATTCAGATTGCTAGTCAATTTCATTCAGAAGGCCCATACCTTCTGAAGCATCAAAATAAGAGGAAAATTAGTTAGCTTCCTTTCAGGATGGAGGCTGACCTGTAGCAACTGAAAAGACAAATCCAAACCCCATGGGATGGGAACAACTGAACAATTCTTCTCTGATGGACAGTGCAAAAATATCTTCTCCTCCTTACTTCTCCATGAGTTCTCAGCCTTATAACTAATTATATCATCATGATTATATACTTTTCCTACAAAACTATTGTACAGAAGAATTTGCTATTACAAAATATAGTCAATGTTCTTCACCATCTTTTTTTGTACTCCTTCCTGGCTAAGTGATCACCAAATTTTCTTTTTTTTCTTTTTGCAGTGCTGGGGGCTGAATCAAGGGCCTCTAAATGCGAGGCAAATGCCCCATCATTAACCTGCCTCAATTTTTATTTCTTTTTTAAGAATTTAACCTTAAGGGCTGGGATTGTAGCTCAGTGGTAGAGCGCTTGCTTCACATGCATGAGGTCCTGAGTTCAATCCTCAGCATCAAATAAAAATAAATAAATAAAAATAAAGATATTGTGTCCACCTAGAACTAAAATTTTTTTTAAAAAATTTAAGCTTTATTTATTTATTTGTTTGTTTTTATGTGGTGCTGAGAATCCAACCCAGGGCTTCATGCATGCTAGGAAGCGCTCTGCCACTGAGCCACAACCCTAATCCTCAATTTTGATTTCTTGATGTGACTCTCCTATGTGGTTCCCAGATCCTTTGTGGACCTGCATCTAGGAGCTATATTTTCTGTTCTGAAAGTAATAGAGAAACTCTTGAGCTTCAGGGCAAGATCTACATAAGGAGATGTACCACAGAGCCACTGGCTCATCCTGATGGTGCCAGAGTCCTTGGAAAGAATTAAAACAAGGACATCATCTATTCAGATTCCATTTTAGCAACAACACTAGCAGCAGTGTGAATTAGAAAGATACCAAGAGTGGAATCTGAGATACCACTTTCCTCAGGACTTCATTTCTTATTTTCCTGTATTATTGAACTATTCCCAAATAATACTATAGGCAAAGAGAAAGGGATGGTTTAAGAGATATTTAATGGGATGAATCAAGAGAACTTGGCACTTCTCAGAAGAAGAAATACAATCAATCAATAAATATATGAAAAATTGTTCAACATCTCTAGTAATCAGAGAAATGCAAATCAAAACCACTTTAAGATTTTATCTCATGCCAGTCAGAATGGCAGCTATTAAGAATACAAACAACAGTAAGTATTGACAAGAATGCGGGGAAAATGGTGCACTTATATATTGCTGGTGGGACTGCAAATTGGTACAGCAAACATGGAAAGCAGTATGGAGATTCCTTGTAAAACTGGGAATGGAAACTCCATTTGACCCAGCTATCCCACTCCTTGGTCTATACCCAAAGGACTTAAAATCAGAATACTACTGTGACGCAGCCACTTCAATGTTGATAGCTGCACAATTCACAATAACTAAACAGTGGAAGCAACCTAGATGTCTTTCAATAGATGAATGGAAAAAGAAACTGTGGTATATATACACAATGTATTATTACTCAACATTAAAAGATAATAAAATCATGGCATTTGCAGGTAAATGGATGGAGTTGGATATTATCAGGCTTAGCGAAGTAAGCCAATCCCCCCAAAACAAAGGCTGTGAATGTTCTCTATGATAAGTGGATGCTGATCCATAATGGAAGGGGCATGGGAAAATGGAGGAACTGGGACTGGGCAAAGGGGAGGGAGAGGTGGGGAGGAGGTATGGGGGCAGGAAAGATGGTGGAATGAGATGGATATAATTACCTTAGGTACATGTATGACTGCACATGTGGTACAACTCTACATTGTGTACAACCAGAGAAATGAAAAATCATGCTCTATTTGTGTACAATAAATTGAAAAGATTTCTGCTTTCACATATAACTGATCAGAATTGATAAAAGAAGTATATTAAAAATGTTAATAAAGAACTCAAAAAAATTAAAAAAAAGAGAACCTGGTAACTGAGGAAATAGTAAGGGTAAATCTTATGAAGGGGTACTCAGGAAGGGTGCCTAGACATCTGACTTGGGTGATACTGAGTGGGAGAATTCAAAGAATAGATCCAATATGATAAATGTGTTTTTTTATAACTTAAGATTGAGTATCTGTGGGACATATTAGTGGAGACTTTGAATAGGCATTTAGATTACAGTAAGTTTCTGGAGTTGACATGGGCTGAAGATATTAATTTTGGAGTCACAATATGGATGGGAGCTAGAGACATAGATGTGAATACAACAGATTATGGAAACATCCAGAAATACATCCACACATAAGGGATAGCTACAAGTAGGACTATAGAAAAGGAACTAGAGAACTGGTAACCAAAAAGGTAAGACAATGATTAGGAGAGAATGGTTTCTGAACCAAGAGAAAACAGTTTGAAAAAGTAACAGTCAACCTTCACTTAGTCAACTAAATTTTATTGACTACCTTGTAACTGAGGAAGCCTGCCCTAGTAGTATTTACATTTATCTATAAATATTCTGACAATAGGCATAGTAAATAAATAAATTATAAAAACTGAAATAATTTGTAGATGTTATGAGGAAAAGTAGATCAGGAGTTCTGTTAGAAAAAGTATAGTCTAAATGGGGCTATTATAAAAAATCTCAAGAGTGATAAATATGACTTGGATCAAATGAGTTGCAGTGAAGATGGTGATAAGTGGTCAGATTGTACATACACACATTCTTTCTCTCACACAAACACAATCATATAAGTTCTTTTTAAGTTTCAACTTCATTTAAGTATAATTTAAATACAATAAAGTTGCCTGATTTTAATGGGGATGCATGCACTGTCAGCATATTTTACCAACTGGAGCCCACATGGGTGTGCCCTACTGAGGACCAGAAGATCTCTATCAATGGCTATCATATTATGGAAAAACTTTTCTGCTTTTGAACTGCTGGGCAAAATTGACTCAGAGCAGTAAAAACTATGGAAGGTGTTCTAGTCAGCTTGGGAATTTTTTGAAAAGGTAAATAATAAGAGTAGTAACTATTCATTGATTATCTACTTTGTGACATGGTAAGCATATTGATCAGCTAAGTTTTTTTTTAATTCTTCACACTCTTCATGTACTTTTTGCTTTCCTTTTAAAATTGAGGAAATTAATGTTTAGAAAAGAAATTCTAATCTTTCTCTAAAATCTTAAATTTGATTCCATATTGGCCTAAGGGGCATCTATAATTTAGACTTGGCAGCTTGTAGCCTAGTCAAGTTGAGGCAAGAGCCACAGGCACTTGAAACCAATATTGGGCATTTTCTTGTACTGCTGTGCTAGGAAGGATGATTTTACCCTCATAAACTTATTTTTTATGAGAAATCCCTCTTCTAAGGTACTGTGAGAGAAGCACTAGGAGTTGTATAGATTTAGGAACCTGTTGAGCATGGTGACACATGCCTGTAATCCCAGTGACCTCAGAGGCTGAGGCAGGAGGATCCAAAGTTCATAAGCAGCCTAAGCAACTCAATGAGACCCTGTCTCTAAATAAAATATAAAAAGGGCTGGGGGTATGGCTTAGTGGTTGAGTGCTCCTAAATTCAATCCCTGGTACTCAATAAATAAATAGGAACCTGATATAGACTAAATTGGAAATTATTAGAAACGTGCAGGTTGACCTCTAAGGCATTTTCAATAAACTTGAATGGAACAAACACGAACATGCTATTAGAGTTTGTTGACAGGAGCTGCATTAAGGGTTCTGGGTACTGTTGAGGAACTAAGGCCTACCTGCCCCCACCCTGGTGAGCCCAAAATGACTGCCCCATCTATATGAGAGCAAATGGGTTGGACCTATCATAGAAGGCTACAGTATACACTCCAGCCAATAGGAAATCAAAGGAAAGCAACCAGAACACCATCCATATGTTTATCAGCAAAGTAAATGTCTCTCCAGACAGAGTTCATTCCTTTAATTCCCAGACACTTAGAGGCTAAGGAGCCAAGCTTGTATTTGTCCTTGGTCCCATAGCTGCAGGTGCCATATCTGCTAGAGCCACGTGCCACAACAATGATAAATATGGGGTAGGTGTTTCTTCAAAGATGGCAAAAGAAAAATGCTGGTAGAAAACCTGAAGATCTTAGAAAGATGTGAACTCAGATAGGTACATAGCATCTTATTGATTATTAAGCCTGAAACTATGTACTGCATCTCACAGTTCACATCAGAGGAACAATGGCTCCCAGAGGGGTCATAGAGAGTGTGTAGGCCCAGCATAACCAACATTGTACCCCATAAAATATAGATGTTAGTGAAAATGACACCAAGGACCTAGCTTCTTTAATAACCTACGCAGTGCTTCAGTTGACATATCATTTGATGGAGGTGCTTAAGTTGGTGTTAGTAATACTCAAAAACCTATTGAGTTAGCAAAGATTACAAGAGTTTACCATAGAGCTAATTAAAGAGGATTTCATTGATCCTGGAATTGATGCCTTTGCTCCATATATGAGCACTTCTGAAAGGGAAATGTTCTGGATTACTGTAATAATACACAGGCCTGTATCACTGGTAAACAGATCAGCACAAGTGTCATCCATACAACTTTGCCATACAAGCAGAATCTTCCATGGAATTGAAAAATTCATCTATGTTGCTTCTTTTTTTTATTACAGCATTGTAGTTATACATAGGAGTTGGGTTCATCCCTACAAAATCATACATACATGGAATTCAATTTCAGTTCACAATCTGACCCTTTTCCCATCTATCCTCCCTTCTCCTCTTCTCCTTCCTCTACTCTGCTAAACTTCCTTACACTTATCTATTTATTTATTTTTGATTTATTTTTATTTATACATAAAGGTGAACTTGCCTGTGGTATATTTATTTTTATATGGTGCTGAGGATTGAACTCAGGGCCTCATGCATGCGAGGCGAGCGCTCTACCACTGAGCCACAACCCCAGCCCCCTGGGTATATTTAAATATGCATAAAGTGTGATTTTTTTTAAGAATTAATTCTGTGTTGCCTCCCTTTTCCCATCCCTCCACTCTGCCTCTTGATCTCCTTCTTCTACACTACTGATCTCCCCCATATCTTTAAGATATCCTATCCTTCTCTCCTTTCCATGCGTTGCTTCTTGTATGAACTTTTTAGTATTATTTCTTAATATGAAGGATACAACCTTCATTGTTCAGGATTTGGTAATATGACCCTGCCTACTGTGGGGTGGGGTATTTTATATATATAAATACGTTATATATTACATATAGCATCTTCATGTTAGTTAGGTATGATGGTGTTGGTTAGATTGATAACACAATCAACTCAATAAAGTCTTATGATAGAAATACCCTGAAAGTAGTTTCTAAGAGATACAGATCTACTTCAGGTGAAAAATAGCTTACTAAACACAATATACCCCAAATCAAAACAAAAATCATTGCTAAAGGTGGACATGGTAACAAAAGGGAGTAAGATTTTACTCAGGGGAATATTTTGGTAATTCCTGCTCCCTAT